TGTTTTTCTTTTTGAGGATATCTGGGATCCTTTAATTATAATAAAGAAATTGATTACATTTACATTTATTTTCCTAATCTAAATTTGGTCAACTTATTTTTTTGTTACTTTCTTTTTTACTGCTTCATCTCTTTTCTATTTTCTACTATATGGTTAGGCTTTATTTTGTATATTTCTCCCCTGCTGAAAATTTGGGTTTTAGTGGTTTCTTTGCCATAATATTTAATATATTCAAACCTCTGTTTCTTGATGTATCAATTTTAGACAGTAACTACTGATGCCTGCTTTATAAAGCGAGAAAATAAAGAAGGGTAAAAATAAAGATAGGGTACTCACTCCTAAATTACTTTCTTATTAACTTGTGATTTTTATTAGTGATTTTTTAGTATTTTATATTGTCAGAGTTTATAATACTCACATATTTTTATATAATTATTGTTTCCACAGATATTTAGTCTTAGTTTTATATTTAAATGAATGTGTTGCTTACCTCCACACCTGTTGTTCCACAGCTTCACCACTGTCTTAGTCCATCGTTGCTGCTATAACAAAAACCTGAGACAGGATAATTTATAAAGAAAAGAAATTTATTTTCTCATAGTTCAAGAGACTGAGAAGTCTAAGATCAAGGTGCCAGCAAGTGTGGTAATGCCCTGCTGTTCATGGATGGTACTGTCTAGGTTTCCTCATTTGGCAGAAGAATGCAACAATGGAAGAGCAAAGAGGGACCTTAGTTCCTTCTCTCTAGCCTGTTTGTAAGATGCTAATCTTTTCATGACGGCTTAGTCACTTCCCAAAAGGCTCCACCCCTTAATACCACCATGATGGAGATTGTATTTCAGCACAGGAATTTTGGGAGACGTTACAACCATAGCAACCATGTTGAATTCTTCATTTGGATGTAGTTCTTAGTTTGCTGTTTTTTATTATTAATAAGTTTTTCCAGATGGGTCAATAAGTCCCATATTTCCTCTGTGTTTGCAAATATTTCAGAGTGTTTTTCTTTTATCTTTATTTATGTTAGATGCCAGCATGAGTTTGCCTGCATTTGTCGATTACTTGATATTCTTCCTTCTTGAGGCAACACTGAGGCTTACTATATGCAGTAAGCTCTAATATTTTCTTTTACTGTATTTAAGTGTTACCATTAATATCATCTTCTACAGAAATTTTTTTAAATTTTTTAAAATCTGTGCTAAAATATAGTGTTAAATAACATGGGCATAGTGATCTAAGGTTACCAGCGGCTTCAGTTCTACATAATCTCTGAAAATACCCTTTTGCCAGATTTGCTGGGTATGCTGTCCTGGGGGCTTGTTTCTGTGGGTTTCTGTTTTGGGAGAGCTAGTTAGTCTGAGATCAGCCTGCTTAGTGAATCACCTAGATTATTGGTCTTATTTTGATGAGCCTGGGTTTATATATCTTTGCCAATTCTTCCTATTAGATACAAAGCAGATTTACACTCTCTCTTCTCAGTATTTCACCTCCATGGTTTCTTCTTTTTTTTTTTTTGGGGGGGGGGGGGTTGGGGTTTTTTTTTTTTTTTTTTTTTGAGGTAGGAGACCTGCTCAGGGAAGATATCTCTCTTCTATCTCTGCCTCTCCTCCATTCTGAAGTTGGATCCCCACAAAGAGTTACCCTACAATTCCAGGGTCCTATTCCTATCCTTAGACTGTAAGCGAAAGTTTATTGACTGTACCCCTCTAAACTCCCTCCCTTATTTTCAGTGAAATGTATACATGGCTGGAGATGCCGGCATATGTCAACTATGTGTGCACTCCCTTTTGGGGCTGAGTCCAAATTTTATTGCAAGTCATGAGATTATGGTCATTTTCTAATTCCATTGTAGATAGAATTTTTTCCCCAATTTCTCAAGTGTTTGTTCATATAGAGTTTCAGGGAGGGAAACAGAGTCACATACTTGACTTCATCATTTATTATGACCTCTTATTAGAGATCCTCAATTTGACAGACACAACAGAAATACTCTTTAAGGAAGATTATTCCAGAACCTTTTAAGGTATATATTAAAGTGGGATGAGGTGACATACCAAAAACTCTCAGAATAATCTAGGCCAGTACAATCCAATAGAACTCTCTGCAGTGATGGAATTAGTATCTATTTGTATTTCCAATATAGTAGTTACTAGCCATATATAGTTACTGAGCACTTGAAATGTGGTTTGTGAAACTGATAAATTGATTTGATATGAATTATTTCAAATTTAATTTTATAGGGACACATTCAGCTAATGGCCATTCTATTGGTCAGTGCAGATCTGGGCAATATAAAAGCCTGAACATTAGACTGTGGTGAAAGAAATGGAAATAAAAGAGGATACCCAAGAGGTGTTGTGGAAAAAAAAGAAACAGCAATGTTTCCATAGAGGAAAAGAGAAAGAGGAGATTTAAACAATTCAAAGGGAAGAATGGGGAAACTGTTAGGACTATCAAAAAAAAAAAAAAGATCATCTTTTGAAAAATAAATATTTTAACAGGTTGAGTTCCCAGTGGCAAGGAACCCTGTAAGTGGAAATGACTATAAACAATTAGAATTCTCACATGAATTGGGTGGGGGTGAGGGTCAAAGCTACCAAAAAAAAAAATCTTTTTTCTGGACACTGCTGTCTGTTCTCTTCTGCCACCATACACTCCTTTACAGAGACCGCCTTGTCCTCCGCAACATGGAGCAACACTGATATGTATATAATAATGATTGTTCAGAGAAATTACTATTTTACCTACTGAATGATTAATATGAAATTAGTTACTGAAACAGTGGTGCAAAGTATCGAAGAGAAACAGTTTTGTTTTAGAAAGGAAAAATACACGATAAAATACTCTTTGGCATACACATAGTACTTTTCATCCGAGATTCTCCACATACTCAGCAAGTTTAATTAATGAGAAAACCTCTAAGAAAGAGAAGTGATGAAATAGGGAACACAGATGCAAGTGTTCTATTTCTGTGATTTTTGAAAATCAAGCTTAGTATTTTCCTCTTCCATTAATACACAAGTGTAGCCCCATGAGGCAGCCATGCGATATTCATCTTTCTGCTGAATGATTTCTCTTGAAGGTATCTCACTTATGAGGGATAGTAACCACACAGAATTCTACCCCCTAACTTTATTGATGTCCTTTGCTCTATTTGCAATGGAAATCCATCCCTATCATCAGAGTGCAGCAAGCATTCTCTGATAATCAAGTCTGCACTGTCCCTGGAAAGATTGTTTTTTGCAGAATGGAGCAGGTTATCTTCTTTATCAAAAATTACTCAAAACAAACATCCGTGAATCTAGGACTAACATGCATTGAAAGGAAATAGGCAAGGCCCCTTAACGGGTACCCTACTGTGTAATCTTCCTTTCATCTTAATTCAGAATCCCTTGGAAATTCAAGTTGCCATATGCAAAAATATAAATTCTTCTAATTACTTATGTGTAGGGCACAGGTTTGGCCTAGTCAAAGCAATATGCAATAATGTATCCTGGCGTTTATTTTCACCTGTTGGAACTTGGGGATAGGTGCTGGGGTTTTGTTTTGGTTTTGGTTTTGGTCTTATGCCTTCTTACTCTTTTTTGTTTTGTTTTTTGCTTTTTGCTTCCCAATTCAAATTGCCCAATTTCTTTTCTCCTAATTACTCAAAACAAATAAAAAATAAAAATGCTGTTCTGCCAAAAGAGAAAATGCCTTGGAAAATCATGGCTTCTAAAGATATTTTACAAAGGGTTTGATGTTTTGCAAAATAAAACTAGCTTCCATGTGCAAAACAGCTGTTTTGGTTTGAATGGGGGAAGATACTGATGGGTTTCAGTTGTTTTTTAATTCATCCAGGCCTTCTGTATGTCTCCAGTCATAAGTCATCCACGTCTAGCCCACAGCCCTCTTACGCTCTCTGGGCCCTGGACATCAGGTTTGTCCCTATCTTTTCTTGACTTTCCTTAGCCACCTGAGCCTTCATTTTCTTACCCTCTCCTCCTGTACACAGTGCCCCTTGTTTGTCCCGTGACAAGGTTTACACTCTTTTCTCTTCAGTGCTGAAGACCTCCTCACACCATGGAGATCACCATTGTCCAGGAAGAGGCCATACTGACCTTTCCATTTTAATACATTACTGAGAATTTAGGAGAGCTGATCTAATACTTTCCCAATTAAATGTCAAATTCTCAAAATTCAGATGGATTTGGAATCCACCTAAGTATATTTTTCTGCTTTCATTCCTAGTAGACAGTGCAGTGGCACTGATTAGCACTAGCATTTTGTAATATCACTTAAGGCTTTAGCACTGTGGAATTCTGCCAGTAATGGTGTTTAATTCACTTATATGTGCCAATTCATCTCTGTCAGGAACCTATTAATTTCTTCACTATTTTACTCTGTCCCTAGCCCCTATGTAATGAGACACAGTGATCCCCATTTGTATAACCAAAAAACTTAGAATCTCTTATAAATTACCCCTGATCCCACTGCTTTTAGTGACCAGAAAGCCTCTGTATTTCTTTTTCATATTTAAATCAATTTTCTTCGCAAGTTCTTTTCTTTAAAAGAATACACTGGAACTCTAGGGCACTAAATTAGTGAAGTCATAGAAAAACTGTAGGATTTTGATGGGTTCGTTAACATGCATCCCAGTCCCAAGAAAGACTTCCATAATATCAAACCAAAGATGCACTGTTCCCACAAGCACATGTCATCTGTGGGGAGAGAATGTTAATGAAAATCAGCCTCTGAAGCTACTATTAGCCTAGTCATCAGTGGGCAAGATCTCAAAATACCCATAGCATTGCTATCAAAGTAAAGACCCTGTAACAAATACAGATCAGATATATAAAATTAATCCTCTTATGCTGTTGGCATTTCTGCATGCTGTGATCTTTAGTAAGCAGGAAATGACAGCTAAGTGACAAGGAAGAGTTAACATGAATTCAAGAGAGCATTTTATTGTATTAGCATATGAAACTCACGTACATCTTTGCTACTTGTTCTGTATTTTTCAGGATTGGAGCAAAACATCAGGAGCTAAGGGAAAAGCAGGCAAGAGGTCTTCTTGATTATGCTACTGGTGCAATTGGATCGGTGCACGATATGGATGATGATGAAATGGACCCTAATTATGCCAGAGTGAACCACTTTCGGGAACCATGCACATCAGCAAATGTCTTTAGATCTCCATCTCCCCCTCGAGCTGGACCATTTGGTTACCCTCGGGATGGCCGTCCACTGTCTCCAGAAAGAGACCACCTAGAGGGTCTCTATGCCAAGGTCAACAAGCCATATCATCCACTGGGTCCAGTTGACAGGTAATATACTTATGGAAAGATAAATGTAGCTTTAATTCAGTATGTTTCAAATAATCTCTACTGCTGAAGCAGGTAAAAATATCTCCTTCCATCGATTAAAATTGAAATGACTCGGTTCCTTACACAACTGCCATCCTTTGACCGATCTGTGAGATATCCAGTATCAAAAATAAAACAATAGCCTGTTGTAAGGTGGCATGAATGAATAGTAGTAGCAGAGTTCAGGATGCAACAGGGAGCCATTTTTGAAGGAATATTGTGACAGGCATCTCATGATAAGAACTTTGAAGGAATATTGTCCTTTCTCCTAAGGGCCCAATTGTAAAAGATTTATTCAGGAAGATGGCATGGCACATGGAAGTGGAGAGTCAGGAAAGAGAAAATGATAGCTTCCAAGTAGGTGTAATTGAAGTGGGAATTACACATAGCTGCAGAGGGCCAGGGGCCTTTGAAAAGTAAAATGGGGATTTTGTACTCAAGGGAAAGGTGACCCTGTATAGATAATCATGGATGATCAGAGGTAGAAAAAGAGATAATCTTGGCAATAGGAGTTTGATGAAGTAGAGAAAGATAAGAGGTGACAAGGCCAAGGACCTTTAGGTTTAGCAGCTAAGGAGAGATAATAAGACCATCTGTCAGCACAACTGAAGTAGGTAGAGAACAAGATGATTCCAACCCCACCTCCTGCCAAAAGTAAAATGCTTCATCTCTTGAAAGACTGATGTAAGAGAGTTTTAGTCAATATACATTGTTAGGTGACCCTTGGAATTATACATGCAAGGAATGAGTTGACTGATCTTGGACTAATCTGACTATAGCTTGAAGTCTGGAGGGAGGTGGTGGGGAAGAAGAGGAGCAGGCACAGAGAGCTCTCATTCTATATGAAGAAAAGACTTGTTTTCCAGACTTCTTAGGGTTCTGACAACCACCCAGTCCCTATTAGTAACCACCCTTTGTGTGATAGCATGATATATTACATATGTTTACCATTTACATTTCCCCAGCTGGGTGATATTATGCACTTTCAATTAGGTTGGGGAGAGGAAGGGAAATCATGGCATTTTTATGCAGACTGTAAAGTGTAGCTTCACAAGACTGATTACCTTTCAGAGCCTTTCCAATAACCAAGTGGGAAGGAAGGAGCAATTTTTAATCCTTACTGTCAGGCTTCCAGGTTGATAATATTAAAGAAAGATGGTCAAGTTTTTCTTTGGGACAAAATGAAAATATAAATTTTTATGACTGTGATATAGCCATAATAACTAAACTGCTAATTCAAAGACTTGATTAAGAGTTGGATTTTTCTCCCAAGTCTTCATAGAGGATTGAATTTTATTATATAAATAATAACACCAGGCATGAGTCTCTTCTGGCCCAAACCATAGTCAATCTTACTTTCCCTAAATTAGATAGGTCTTCATAACAGTCCTCTTTGCATATTCCATAGCTGGAATCCCAACACAGAGAGACTGTTTATAGGAACCTCCCCAGCCAGTATGTTCCAATACTAATTCCATGGAAATAAATATGAGGCATTTTATAAAAAAAAAGATTCATAAGTCAAATATATATGGGGAATTCTAGGTTAAGCCACAAGGAATGGGTTTTATTTCTTTCTTTTATTCTTTTTTTTTTTTTTGAGACAGAGTCTCACTTTGTCACCCAGATTGGAGTACAGTGGCACAGCCTCTGTACTGCAACCTCCACCCCATGGGTTCAAGCAATTCTCCTGCCTCAGCCTCCAGAGTCGCTAGGATTAAGGCAACTGCCACTGCCCCCAGCTAATTTTTAGTAGAGATGGGGTTTCACCATCTTGGGCAGGCTGGTCTTGAACTCCTGACCTCATGATCCACCCACCTCAGCCTCCCAAAGTGCTGGGATTACAGGCGTGAGGCACTGCATCTGGCTGAAACAGGTTTTCTTATTGCAGTCTTCTTATGCATAATATGCTGGCATGCATTCTGAGTTTCTAAGAGGACCATCCAACAACCAGCATGCATCATCTCCCAGATTTCTGTCACCTAAACGGTATGTTTCCCCTAGATCTTTGGAACACCATTTAGGAAGCTCTATACTAATTTTCATCTATGTAGATTTGACCAGAAAATAAATTTCTTAGGCTAATCTTAACTGCAACCACTATATAATGATATCAAGAAAATATAATTATTGACTGCCCAGTCCAGACATATGTGTAAAAGAGTCTTACTTTTGACTCTGACCCCTTTATAGTAAAAATGGTCTAAAGCTGCTTTCAATAGAGTTTAGACTGCTATCTTATTTTTGAATAGCAGATCAAAGTGTGACTCTTTATACCCAGAATTATCTCTGTTCTGCTCTTATCTTTAATTATACTTAAAGACTGCCCTGCTCTTTGTTCTTCAAGTCTTGAAGGAAGCACATTTTGTCTTGGCACATAGTAAGCATTAAATAATATTAGCTATTATTATCATCATTGTTACTATTATTATTACTCTCTTTTATTAATGAAATTCTGAACTTTCCTGATATGCCTGTGCCCAGATAAATCTAAGAAGAGTTGCCATGGCAGTTTCCCTAATAATAAGCATAAGCAGGAATCTGCGAATTCTAAACCTACCACATGTACTGTTAGAGGGCAATGTCATTCATACATTGATCTTCTCAGTCCTTCACTCATTCAGTACGTATGTATTTGACACCTAATGTGTTCTAACTACCGTAGAAAGCTTTAGGGAAGATAGAGAGATGATTAGGAAACAGTCCCAGACCAGAAGAGGTTATAATCTAGTGAGTGGAGGGCCAACACATGTAGAAATGGATCACTGAAATGTGATGTGAATAGAAGAAAAAGAAATGTTTCTTTTCTAACTCTGCCTATTCAGAAAAGTCCTCCAAACAGAGGTGATACTTGAACTGGTTCTAGAAGGTTTAGTAGGACAAGAGCAATTGCAGTAGAAGAATTGTTTTCTTTGCGGAATAATTAAGCATGTACAAGGGCAATGTGGCCTGAAAGAACAGGCCTATTAGGGAAGCTCAGAAGCACCCGGACACCGAGTGTGGGTAGGAAGGAAAGTGATAGGAAAGGAGGCTGCAAAGCAGGTTGGGGTCAGTTTGTGAATTCGTGGGTTATATCTTATGCTGCTACGTATTGATTGGTAGGGGCTGTCTAGAAATCTGTATTAACTAAGATTCTGAAGCAAATTGCAGTATAATCCTAGCACTCTGGGAGTCCAGGGTAAGGGGGAATCACGTGACGCCAGGAGTTGGAGACCAGCCTGAGCAATATAGCAAGACCCCATCTCTCTCTATATGTATATATATTTTTTGAGGTGGTGTCTCACTCTGTAACCCAGGCTGGAGTGCAGTGGCATGATGTTGGCTCACTGCAACCTCCACCTCCTGGATTCAAGCAATTCTCATGTCTCTACCTCCCAAGTAGCTGAGACTAACAGGCACAAGCCACCACGGCTGGCTAATTTTTTGTATTTTTAGTAGAGATGGTGTTTCACCATGTTGACCAGGCTGGTCTCAAACTCCTGACCTCAGGTGATCCGCCCGCCCCAGCCTCCCAAAATGCTGGGATTACAGGTATGAGCCACCACACCCAGCCTCTAAAAAAAATTTTTTTTCATTATCCATGTGTGGTGGTGTGCACCTATAGCTCAACCTACTCAGGAGGCTGAGGTGGGAGGACGGCTTGAGCCCAAGAGTCCAAGGCTGTAGTGAGCTGGTGATTGCACCACTGCACTCCACCCTGGGTGACAGAGAAAGATCCTACCTCAAAAGAAAAAGGAAGAGTTCTGCAGTTATGCCTGAATAGGGATATCTTCCCTAGACTCCAGAATGATGAGCAGTAGCAAGTGTGCAGGGGGCTTTGATGTATTTGCCAATCCTGTGGACAGTGGGAGCCACTAAAGTGCTGCAATTGAGGAATGAGCAGATGGATTCATGTTTTGGGAAAATATCTCTTCCAGCTTGGCAGACCAAGAAAAAGATGGTTAGACTGTGAGACAAAGTAAGAGATGATTACAGCAGTAAATGAGGACAAGAGCTTGAAATAAGAGAGTGGGCTGAAGACAGCAGAGTGTAAGAAGTAGGCCAAAACCTTAGCTTAAAATGAAGACAAAGACGTTTAGCAGATATCACAGACATGGGGCTTTCAAATGCTTTAGAGAGGTCACTGGATTAAGGACTGAAAAGAGGGCTTTAGGTTTGGCCACCAAAAGGTTATCAGTTAGAGAGAACAGTTTAATAGCTAAGTAGGACCAGAGGGAGAATTATAATTAGAAGAGAACTGAGAGGTAAGAACTTAAGGAATGTGTTCTTGGTGGCAAACAGAGAACAGAGTTATAGAATGGAAAATTTGCATCTTTGAAGTTCCTTCTGTGACAGTATTTCAGAGCTAACGAGAATTCAGAGACTGTCCAGAATGACTGTCTCATGTGATTATTGTACAAACTGAGGCCCAGAGAAGTTGAGTGACTTGCCCAAGCTCACACAGCATGGAATCAGGGCTTTATTCTAGATCTCTCTGTGTTTTACAGTCTTTTTTTCCCTAACTCACACCATTATATAAACCCACACTCTCATTTCCTGCTTGAGGAATGTATTAGTCCATTCTTGCCCTGCTATAATGAGTTACCTGAGAAAATAGGTTTAATTGGCTCACAGCACTGCAGGCTGTCCAGGAAGCATGATGCTGGCATCTGCTCAGCTTCTGATGAGGCCTCAGAAAACTTTCAATCATGGCAGAAGGCAAAGGGGAAGCAAGCAGATCTTACATGGCAGGAGCAGAAGCAAGACGAGAGGAGGGAGGTGCTGCACACTTCGAAACAGCCAGATCTCACAAGAACTCACTCACTATCACGAGAACAGTATCAAGGGAGAAACCCACCCCTATGATCTAATCTCCTACCAGGCCCCACCTCCACCATTATTACAATTCAACATGAAATTTAGGCAGGGACACAGATCCAAACCATATTAAGGAAATTAGTACCTGGGTAAATAAAGAGGCA